TATATATATAGGCCTTTTGGATCAGGGCTGGGGATCACGATCGGACCCCAGCACTCGCCATGGGCCCCTGTTACTCTGTTCCACTATTAGCCCCCTGTCCGGCGCAACACACACACACACACACACACATAGATAGACTTAAATATAGACATATATACAGCAACATTATTACCTCCATGCTGAGAAATGTCATCGCTTTTCAGTTGCAAATCTACTTTATTGATAAAGTCGCATGCCAGGTCAACGCAGACAAGTTTCTGTACGTGTGTTTGATCCACGCAAGGATCCATCCAAGGAGAAAGAAATTGTGCTTTTCGTAGATAATAAAACGTGGAAAAAACAGAAATAGTTTGTCGTATTGTTTGTTATATTTATTTGTTTGGTTAATGTCTTTTCAAGTTTTGGTTCTTTTGCTGTTGTAGGTAGGCATACCCCGTAGAATAAATAATTATTGCTCCTTATTGTAACTGGTCCCCTCGGGACGTGCGAGCATAGGCACGTGTCTAGAATGCCAATGCATAAATCCGGCCCTGTCTAAATTTTTACATGGAAACAGGTAGTAGATGGATGACTCTTGTTCCTCATTCCTTATTACAGGGTTGTACATTTGCTTTGGAAGTCTGTAACAACCAGGAGAGGGCGCTGCATTTCTGAACCAATGTCCATAATGCAGCCAAAATCAGATGTTTTGTTTGAGGATTTCATTCAGTTCTCAAATCTGCCATAGTCATTTTAAAGATGATGATGATTATGAAGATTTTAATTTATATGTAATTTCACAACAGAGTATGGATATTGTATAAAAAAAGATGTTACACTACAATTCAAAAGTTTGGGGTCGTTAAGATTTAAAAAAAAAAAAATTTTATTCAGCAAGGATGCATTAAATTTATCAAAAGTCACAGTAAAGACATTTATAATGTTGCAAAACATTTAAAATTCAAATAGAAGATGTTCTTTTAAACTTTTATATTCATCAGCAAATCCTGAAATAATGTATTAAGGTTTGCACAAAAATATTAATCAACACAATTGTTTTCAACATCAATAATAATATAAAATATTTCTTGAGCTCCAAATCATATTACAATGATTTCTGAATGATCATGTAACACTGGTGACTGGAATGCTGATATTTGATGTTTATAATCCTGTTACTGTAATATTTAAAAAATAAAATACATGTAAATTGAATATAACATATTTTTAAAAAGTATTACTCATTTATGTATTATTAGTATATTTATTAGTATTTATTTTAACAAGAAAATGCATGCACTTTTATGATAAAATATTGTAAAAATGTTTTTTAAGTGAAAATGAAATGAATAGGCTTATAAATTATGTAAAAATGCCATTTTCTAGAGCTTGAGGCTTCAGATGTAACAGCTTACACAGAAAATAATTCACTAAAGCATGTGAATATAATATAGCTGACACTCATTTGACCTGCAGCCAGGCTCTGACTGCTGTAGAATGAATGTAACTGTGAGCATTCAGTGTCCTTTTGCTGTCACTGGCTCATAACATTTCTGCCTCTTTTGTTGCCAACGGGAGGAGAAAGAGGGTATTTAAAAAAAATAAAAAAACACTAGAACATTCTTTATTAAGTGTTGGGTGGAATTCAGAAGAGTGAAAACTGTTAAGAACTGCAGCATTGCAGCTCTGGGAACAAGTTTTAACATTCTTTTTACTCTTTCCCTCAAACTTGGAGAATTTATGGAAATGTAGAAGACAGTGAAAGGCCCCTGGACCGTATGAATGGATATTACAATTCTGCTGAAACCGGAACTAATGTGGCATCCCTGACGCTGGCACTAGATTTTAATACAAATTGAGGCTAATTATCCCTCCATCCTGCGCCGAGGTTTTACGCTCAACAATATGAGATGGCTGAAGGCCAGAAGATTGAGGAGACCACCCAGGAATAAAGACAGTGTAGTATCGTTTATGTACGTTAAGTGCAGACAGGGGTGTAACAGCATTATAACTGCTTATGGTTAAAACAGTAGCAAAACAACATTATTAAAGGAATAGCTCACCCAAAAATTAAAATTTGCTGGAAATCTACCCACCTTCAGGCCATGTGATATATGTAGATGTGTTTGTTTCTTCATCGGAACAAAGTTTAGCGTTACATCACTTGCTCACCAATGGATCCTCTGCAGTGAATGGGTGCCGTCAGAATGAGAGTCCAAACAGCTGATAAAAACATCACAATAATCCACAAGTAATCCACACAACTCCAGTCCATCAGTTAACGTTTTAACAAATCCAACTTCAAACCGTTGCTTCTGGCTAAAATAGGTCTTCTTAAAATGTCTTAATTATGGATTTGTTTATTACAAACATGCAGCTTTTTGCTTCACAAGATGTCAAATGTGGTGTACATTACTTGTGGATTATTGTGATTTTTTTTCAGTTGTTTGGACTCTTTCTTACGACACCCATTCATTGCAGAGGCTGCATTAGTGAGGATGTGAAATTTCTCCCAATGACATTAAATTAAATTAATTTTAATGCAAAAAATACTAATGAAACTTACTGAAATGTATGTGTGCGTAGGATATATAATCTTTTTTTTTTCTCTCTCTTTTTTTTTTCTTCTTCTTTTAACTAAAGAAGAAGTTATTTTCTTAATCAGACTTCTTTTATTACAGATTGACCATTTTGGTTTTTTGGAGAATGGCACATTCAAACAGAGGTACCTTCTTAATGACCAGCACTGGCACAAGGAAGGAGGTCCAATCCTGTTTTACACGGGCAATGAAGGAGACATTTCATGGTTCTGTAACAACACTGTAAATATGCATTTTCTTATATCTTCGGTTGGAAAAAATGACAGAAAAAAAGTTATAGAGATTTTGGAAATGACAAAACTGTGAACTACCACTTCTGTTAATTGAATTGCCAAGCAGGAAAACAACAAATGCAACAGCAAGGTTCCTGAAATAGAAAAAACATTCATTTTCTCTATAGGGGAATTTATGTTTGTGAATGATAACTTATAAACATTTAAATATAGACCTACTGTGAGCTATGAGGTTGTTAATCAATGTTATATGCTTTTGTTGCCATCAGTCCGCATTATTTCACCTTTTTTTTATAGTCATGTTCAAAAGTGGAATTCCTAGCGGAAAAACAACATTATCCATGATTTTGCAGAGAAAGTCTTGTACAGAGTCATGAACCTTTGTTTTTTTGTCTATTGTTCACATACTTTTGCTTCAAATCAAAAGTGTGTAAAGTTGTGATTCACCTTATAGCTGGATGATGTGGTTCATGGCTTATAACTCTTAAACAAAGATGTTTTTAAATGGGTGGGAAAAATACTTCCAGAACCAAATCCACTGAAAAAATGGACAGGCGCTGTTACACTCTTATTATTTTTGGTGCTGCTAATGATGCAGAAATGATCAACTTCACCTTTAAAGGGGTCATATGATGCGATTTCAAGTTTTCTTTCTCTTTGGAGTGTTACAAGCTGTTCGTGAATAGATACGATCCCTAAAGTTGCAAAGACTAAAGTCTCAAAACCAAAGAGATATTCTTTATAAAAGTTAAGACTCGTCCGCGCCCCCCTAAAATGCCTCGTTCATGCCCCCACATGTCTACGTCACGATGTGGGAAGATTTGCATAACGCCGCCCAAATGTTCACGCAAAGAAAGAAGGCATAACTTTATTGTTGTTGCCGGCGCCGCCATGTTGTGAAGATGCTGTGTGTTTCGATGTGAAAGCAAAAATACTTTGTTTGGCCTTCCAAAAGAAAGAAGGCGTAACAAAGTATTTTTGCTTTCGCAACGAAACACACAGCATCTTCACAACATGGTGGCGCCTGCAACAACAATAAAGTTACGCCTTCTTTCTTTTGGAAGGCCAAACAAAATATTTTTGCTTTCAAAAATAAAGAGGACATGACTAGAAATCAGTGGTTAAGTTGTATTTACAACACTGTTCCAGAACACTTCAACCCAAATATTCAGATGTGTGCACCGCATTTTATGGAGGACTGTTTCCTGATCCTGGTAGAGTAGACTACAATGCCGGCTGTTCTGACTCACAGACTGCAAGTACGTTTTCATATTTAAAGGATTTGCCACTGACGATTCAAACGTGAGTTTTGAGCAGTGTAGAGTAGCGCTTGTTGTTTGTCATTTCTCCCTAGCCCTAGTTTTTTTTTTTTGCCTTAATCCTCATAAACACATTTCATTACACCAAATACACAAAATAATGTTCTTTTTAGCAACATCATTTGACCCCTTTAACAGTTGATGATTATAATAAGCACAGTGTCCTTAGATAATCAGTATCAGCATAATGTACTTCACAATTACATCATTCTGAAAAATACTGCTATCAAATATGAAATATTGCCATACAGAGGAAAAATGTCTTGTAAAAGTATAACATTTAGTAGCGATAGTTTGCAAACTCTTAGTCCAAACGAAAGCTCAATATCTCCATCTCTACTTTTTCCCAAGGGTTTCATGTGGGATGTAGCAGAAGAGCTGGGAGCCATGCTGGTTTTTGCTGAACATCGCTACTATGGAGAGTCTATGCCGTTCGGCGAGGAATCTTACAGCGTGAGTCAATACCGCTGTCGGGCAATAAGTCTGTCCAATAATAACACTGTCCTTGACCTTCTAGGCTTGTCTTTCCTTTCCTCCAGAATGCAAAGTATCTGAACTACCTGACCTCAGAACAGGCTTTAGCTGACTTTGCAGTGCTCATCAAAGCTCTGAAAACAACCCTGCCTGGAGCTCAGAAGAGTTCAGTCATCGCCATTGGCGGCTCCTACGGTGGGATGCTGGCGGCCTGGCTGAGGATGAAATATCCCAGTGCAGTTGTAGGGTGAGAGTTTGCCTCGTTCATGTTTATTTTCATGTATACAGTATGTATGTATTGTGTATAATTGTTTATCGTATACAATGGTGTGAAAAAGTGTTGGTACAGTATATATATATACACGTGTGTGTGTGTGTGTGTGTGTGTATATGTATACACACACAAAATCTAAATCTATGAAGTTGACATGGCAAACGTTTAATAAGTGCTTAAGGGTCACAGCTTGTGTAGTTTATATCTAAATGTGAAATATTAGCCTATTAAAAATTCATAAGTACAGCATAAATTAATGGAGTATCATGCCTAGAAACTGAATAATATCTTACATTTAGAGTGCCATGGGATTCTGGAATAGTAAAATGCTTAACTGTAGTGTGTAACCATGTGTTTAATTGAGGAAGGTGATGTAATTCAGCAGAGAAGTTCATGATTATTGGTAGATTTTTCTACTGTGTAATAGGATGATCAGTGATTGTGACCTTCTGATGTTTTCAGTGCTCTTGCCGCGTCTGCTCCCATCTGGCAGTTCATTGTGCCTTGTGGAGAGTTTTACAAAGTGGTCACCCATGATTTCACCATCAGTGGTACCAACTGTAGCAGCAACATCAGGAGGTCATGGGCGGCTATTGACAGGGTCTCAGCATCAGGTTTGTGAACGTGATTGCTATGCTGCTTTGCCCTTTGTTAAACATATTTTTTGTGATCATGTCGTGCATGTGTAGATAATATTGTTGACAATGTTTGGAAGATGTGGTACTGATTACAAAAGACACAGTTAAAATAATCAATAATAGGAATCAATAATTTTGGAAACGTAATATTTTTACGTAATGCATGTTTTGACCTAATGTTAAATTCATGGAACATTAGTATAGCAGTAAAATTAGTTAACTAGTCAAGTTTACTGGGACACAGTCAGTTTATATTCTAACCAATTTATTGCCATTACCTGATACCTGGTAATCAGTCTGTAATTATTAAAAAATAAAGAAATAAAAATCTCTGTAATCGAATTATGTGTGTATCAATTCCAAGGACTTGATGTTTGTTTTGCTGATTTTGATTAGCTGATTATGTCGTCAAGATTACCTGTACTCCTTTACTAGCCAAGACTGATAGTTGAAGGATTTTGTTCTATTTGTTTTAAACCCATGCTCATTTGTGATTTTTCATGGTTTTGTAACTCTTGCTTATAAAAAAGCTCTAAAAGCTTATGGGTTTTTCTAGACTCATTTGATCAGCTTTTCTTTTATAGGTGAGGGTCTGCAGTGGCTGTCTCAGGAGTTTGGACTGTGTAGTTCTTTAAAGACTCCAGACGAAGTGTACGGCTTCAAGGCTTGGCTGCAGGAAACCTGGGTGAACTTAGCCATGGTGGATTATCCATATGAAGCCAACTTCCTCCAACCACTTCCAGCCTGGCCTGTTAAGGTACGATAAGTTCACTTCCAAGGTTTCCCTTGCAGAACATACTGTGGCACACACCTTCTAAGTTTATACCTTCAAAGCACTGTTTTGGCATGAAAGCGTCTGCCAAGTGCATGAATGTAAAAATGTAATTTAAAATATACCATGTTGAAGAATTATTATCAAAATCATATACCATGGTACAGTATTTACATGATACATGAATTTGAAATCTTTTGTAACATTATAAATGTCTTTACTGTCACTTTTGATCAATTGAATGCATCCTTGCTGAATAAAAGTATAAAAACATGGTTTTAATATGGTATTTATTTATTTTAATTGTATTTATTGTTTAAATATTTAAGAACACTAGAACTGACCTTTTGCTAGGCCCTGTCTACATTTCATACATTTCAGATAAGTAATTACTTATCTGAAATGGCATAGTTTTTCAGTATATTGTGACTATGAAGTGGTAAAAATGAAAAAAAAAAAAAATCTTACATGGTCTAGAATGAAGTATGACACGCCTTACAAGAATAATGAATGACTAAAACACAACAAAAGTCATTAACAATAAAATTCTACTTTTACAGCTGGATTTCACAGCTAGTCGGTATGAATCATTCTCAGTCTATGATTTCCTCATTAATGCTGACTCATCTCTGATAATAAGTCTGTTGTACCCATTTACATCAGTATGCAAATAGCTTCATTCATATTCATAAAGCTTCTGTTTTCTTTCACCCTCAGAATTGAGCTTTTGTTCAGGTTTTTGTTCGGTTTTGGTTAGAGGGTGGCGTGGACAATAAAAAATGTTTATTGTCAGACTCCTGAGGCATCTGTATTTTCATTCATTGAATCTATCTGACAGAGGAAAGGAAAATTAATATGAAGAGCCCTAGTGTGCATGGCAAGAAAGTAATATAAGCTCTGTCTAAAGCTAGTGAGTTGCTGACCTAGAAAACATTTTAAAGGGGTCATATGATGTTGCTAAAAATAACATTATTTTGTGTATTTGGGGTAAAGAAATGTGTTTATGCGGTTTAAGGTTAAAAAAACACATTATTTTCCACATACTGTGCATTATTGTTTCTCCTCGTTTTTTACAAAGCTCATCGGTCTAAAAAGCGAGGTGTGCTCTGATTAACCAGCTATCCAGTGCATTGTGATTGGCCGAATACCTCAAGCGTGTGACGGAAATCTTACGCCCCTCACCATACTGTGATGCCCTGTCCGGCCGGAGCAATGAAACAAAAGCATTAAAACACATTATAAACGAGGCATTCGCGCCGTGTAAACATGTCTGCATTTGTGATCAGAGAAATGACAAACAACAAGTGCTACTCTACACTGCTAAAAACTCGCGTTTGAATCATCAGTGGCAAATCCTTTAAATATGAAAACGTACTTACAGTCTGTGAGTCAGAACAGTCGGCATTGTAGTCTACTCTACCAGGATCAGGAAACAGTCCTCCATAAAATGTGCTGCACAGATCTGATTATTTGGGTTGAAGTGTTCTGGAACAGTGTTGTAAATACAACTTAAACACTGATTTCTAGTCATGTCCTCTTTTGGAAGGCCAAACAAAGTAGTTTCGCTTTCACAACTAAACACACAGCGCCTTCAGGACATGGCGGCAGCGGCAACAACAATACTACAGCGAGAATAAAAGTTATGCCTTCTTTCTTTGCGTGAACATTTGGGCGGCGTTATGCAAATCTTCCCACATCGTGACGTAGACGTGGTGGCGTGTTAGAACGAGCCGTTTTAGGTAGGCGTGGCTGACTCTTAACTTTTATAAAGAATATCTCTTTGGATTTGAGACTTCAGTCTTTGCAACTTTACAGATCTTCTTTATGCACCAAGAGCTTGTATCACTACAAAGAGAAAGGAAAAATTGAAATGGCATCATATGACCCCTTTAAAATTAATCTGAATTGCCATGTACAACACATTTTACTTCCATATTTGACATATTTCAGAGTGAAAGATGATAGTAAATCAGAAAATAAATAACTGAATTGTGAAAAGTCTGCATTATATACAAGATAAAGCCAGACTGAACACTAGTTTGCTAAAGCAATGCCTAAATAGCTACAGTATTAGTCGATTGATTAACATTATCCAAACAAGTCAACTTAGTAGGTAACAGAGATAGACTTGGCAGTGTGAATTTGAATCACAAAAGCTTTTGTTTTTGAGGAAATAGTTTAAACGTTTATTTTTTTATTATTTAGGAGCGGTAGCTTTTCTCTAGCACATATGAATATGCAGACTGTAGACTTTGCAAAATCTCAGATGGTTTACTTTTGAGTAGTTTTCTTTCCCCCCTCAAATCTGATAATGTATGCAACCCCTATGTGTGGTTAAAGCAGTTTAGGCAGTGGGTGCAAAGAGGCTTTTTACTGACAAAGCTAATGTGATTATGTGAGTGACTGAGAAAAGGGGGTATTGAAGGCTTAGGAGTGGGAAATCTGTTGCTGGAGATGAATGTGTAAACCTAATCCCATCTGGAAAGTAGAGAGAAGGTGCTTTGGACAGCCTCTGCTGGTTTTGTCATAGTATAAATCTCTGCTCGGACATGCGTGTAGCATATATTGCGCTCAGACCACCATCTTGGAAGAAAAGGTTAGCAACAACTTCAAAATCAAACATGACATCCCGTTAAGGGTGATGTGTGTTAATGTGTGTGATGTGGGATGCAATGTTAAAATAAGTTCTACTATCCTAGTTTAATCTGTAGAGATAGCAATGGGTAAAATTGTGGTCACATTTACCGATGCATGGCGAAATTTCGCGTTTGAAGTAATTTTAGTAGGAATCTGTGTGATTGAGCGGAAAATTTCTCCACAAAGACACGAACGATGGTGAAACATTTGCGATTACAGACAACAGTACTCAAGGTGGCGATAGTATTACCTTATGGCAACAAACAAAATTTGTCATTATTCTGATAGCTAGCTTAACTACAACATTTAGCAAACATAAAAATTCTTCACAGTAGTTGAAATGAAAGAGAAAACAGATTGTAGGAGACAGTTTGCGTTGAAGTCCAGATGAAATGGAAGTAGCAACAGATCTTTTCTTCTATATTGTAATGAACATCTGAGTGTAATGGATTATTGAGAAAAAAAAAATGCAGGCCGGGGATTTGGTTCTATCTGTTGTTTGTTGATTGGACTTTGAGGTGTTGGCGTTGCACTCAAAAATGAATTCAAACTTATGGTTGATTGTGGAAGAACGGGGTTTAAACTTAAGATTTTGACCTTTACAAGGTAATTTTTTTTTTAAATAAACGTAACACAATAAATCATTCACAATTAGATAAATTATCTTTATAGCACCTCTTGTGGCAATACTGTCAATGCAACACATATTTGCATTATGACATGATTGTGCTTCAGTCCTATTTCATGTGGAGCTAGTTTCTGTAGATAACTCCATAGCTTGATATATTTGTCAAGGTTTCGTTGCCTTTGAAACATTCTTACTTTGTTCCAGCTTGACTGTGATACATTCCACTCCAGCAGAATTCCATTCCACTCAATTTCACATGCAAATCAGATGATTCCACAAAAAAAGCTGCATGGGGGATTTTCACAGCAAGATTGTTTTAAAAGAACTGGAACTTATGAGACATCTTCATGCAGATGAAGCTTTGCTTGTTTGCATAATGTAATTTGTGCCTTTGTTATGCAATAAAGCTGAACTCTTGTCATCTCTCTGAACATAAAGCCAGCTGTTTGTTCTGTGATTTACATGTGTTTTTCTGATTCTCAGGTGGTGTGCAAAAATCTTCATTTTGATACCGGTGTATCAGACAAACAGCTGTTGAATGGTATCTCTCATGCCGTAAAAGTGTACTACAATTACACGGGAGATGCAGTCTGTCTCAACACCTCACAAACCGCTACTGGGAATCTGGGCTTGCTTGGTTGGTACTACCAGGTAAAATATTAAAATGTTTGGAAGTTTGACTCGATATGGTCACATTTATTAATCTAGGTCCTCGCATTCTGTTTTATTTAAATTCACATGTTGATGAAGAATTATGATGCTGTTCTTTTCCATACATATAAATTAATTAGGGAAGGAAGCAGTTAAGCTCCAAAAATGTCAAAAAGTACTATGACATTTTTTTTGATGTATTCCAAAATTCAAATGTCAAATGATAGGTATGACAAAACTGAAGTTATTCACAGAAAATTGCTTGGAAATCTTTGGCCCGCTAGGTCACACTTGGTCTGTTTTTCTCACAAAGTTATTGTAGGATGACTTTATGATTTGACCTTTGATTTTTGATCAAACCTATTTGATTGATGATCTTTGTGGTACTTTTAATCAGAATCAGAAAGAGCTTTATTGCCAAATATGTTTGTTTACACATACAAGGAATTTGTTCGGGTGACAGAAGCTTCCAGTACACAGAGACAACAACAACACACAGATAATAAGAAATAAAGATATGTGAATAAAAACACATACATACACACACACACACACATATATATATATATATACGTATATATATATATATATATATATATATATATATATATATTTACATTTAGTCATTTAGCAGACGCTTTTATCCAGAGCGTTTTACAAATGAGGACAATACAATAATAAAGCAGTCAAAACGAACAAAAGAGAAACAATATATAATATATACAATATATAAGTGCAAATGAGAAGTCTCGGTTAACCTAACACAGTACACGTATCAAGGTCCCACTTTAGGTCCTGAGAGATGGTGGTGTCCAGGAACCTGAATGACTCTACTGCAGCCACGGTGCTGTTCATGATGGTGAGTTGGGGTAGTGCTGGGTGGTTTCTCCTGAAGTCCACTATTTGCATTACAACTACCACTAGTCCAGGTTGTTATATCTGCACCAGACAGCCAGCTGCTCAACCTCACTTCTGTATGCAGACTCATCACCGTCCTGGATGAGGCTAGTAACTGTAGTGTCTTCTACAAACTTCCGGAGCTTGACAGAGGGGTCAGTAGAGGTGCAGTCGTTGGTGTGCAGGGAGAAGAGCAGTGGGGAGAGCACACATCCCTGGGGGGTGCCAGTGCTGCTGATGGTGCGACTGTTTGACATCAATTATTGATAGTCTCACTAACTGTTGCCGATCTGTCAGAGAGATGGTGATCAATTGACAGACTTGTCAATTGCTCAATAAGCAAACTGCAGGGGGTCCATTAAGGGCCCAGTGATGTCCTTCAGATAGGCCAACACCAGTCTCTCAAACGACTTAATGACCACAGGTCTGTAATCATTAAGTCCTGTGATTCTGGGTTTTTTCTTTGGAATGGGGATGATTGTGGAGTGTTTGAAGCAGGAAGGGATTTCGCACAGCTCCAGTGATCTGTTGAAGATCTGTGAAAAGATGTGGGCCAGCTGGCCAGCACAGGTTTTCAGACAGGCTGGTGAAACACCATCTGAGCCTGGTGCTTTTCTTGTCTTCTGTTTTCTGAAGACCTGACACACATCATCGTCACTTATCTGGTGTGAGACCAGGGGTTTTAAATCTGCAGTAACACTCATTCAGGTCTTCAGCACGTTGTTGATTCGCCTCAGTGCTGGGGGATGGTGTCTTGTAGTTTGTGATGTCTTTCAGGCCTTTCCACACTGAAGCATGATCATTTGCTCAAAACTGGTTTTCCAGCTTTTTAGAGTAGCTCCTCTTAGCCACTCTGATCTCCTTTGCCAGTGTGTTCCTGGTCTGATTGTACAAGATTCTGTTCCCGCTCCTGTAGGCATCCTCTTTGGCTTGACGAAGCTGTCTGAGTTTTGCTGTGAACCTGGGTTTTATGTCATTTTCTTTTCATTTGTTATAAGTTTAAAAAGCTAATTTCTGGATATTAACATCATGTTGTTGAACATTTTATGATATGGTGTCGTATTTGCAGAGCTGCACAGAGATGGTAATGCCAATGTGTACAGACGGCATCATTGACATGTTTGAGCCACAGCCATGGAACTTCCAGGCCTTCTCAGATGAGTGCTACAATCAGTTTGGAGTGCGGCCACGGGAAGACTGGGCAGAAATTGTATACGGTGGGAGAAACATAAGTGCTCACAAAAATATCATCTTCAGGTAGGACCTTTTGTGTTTATATAATATTAAGCACTGCCTTAATTTTTCACTTCCTACCATAATTAAAAGAAATTGATTTGAGGAGATGTTCAGTTTGGGGTTTAGATCTTAGTTCTGTTCCAAAAGCCTTGTTGTCATGTGCCTACATAGTGTAGGCAGCATCCTAAACATTGTGAATATCATAAATATCTGATTTGGAACAACACACTGATTTCAATGTGGTTTAATGTTAGCATGTTGCTAAGCTAATTATGTAATACTCCCCATAAAAATACTCAACACAGACTAAGTAAAATAGTTAATTTATAGTTAACCTTTAGTATTGGATTAGATTGTATTTTTTGTCTTGGTTCAGTCATCAGTTATTTTTTTCACTGATGCTGTTGCAATGTATTCTGGTATGACCTTCCCAACAAAGCATAACCTACATGAGATGTTGCCTCAAAATTTGGGCATCACAAGGTGTTTTAGAAAGTTTTGAACAACCTTCTTGTTGGGGGTCTATGTATGCCAGTTTATAAGGCTTTCTAAGTAGGCAGCTCACTAGGCTTTGGAACATAGCTAGTGTTTTTTGGACTGTAATTGAAACATTCCATTTATATGTTCTAGTTGGGGTACATATACTATATTTGGTGATACTATGGACCTAAAGTTGTGTCGTCTTTTTCAGTAATGGAAATCTTGATCCATGGATGAGCGGTGGAGTGACCACGAGTCTTTCAGAATCTCTGGTTGCCATTATGATCGATGGAGGTGCTCACCACCTTGATCTGCGCTACAGCAACAAGTTTGACCCAGAGTCAGTTATCAAAACACGGGCGTTAGAAGTATGCTACTTCAAGAAGTGGCTCAATCAGGTAGCAACTACACAATGATATGGAATCAAGATCATTGGAAATTTTAAGAAACAAGAAACACAAAATGAACCATTACTATTTGCTATGTGCCAAAGTTAGGGGTTCTTAAACTTGGTACTTAATTGGAAAAAAATACAGTTTTTATTAAAAGTTCTTTTTGGGGACAATAATGTTCCTTGTTTTTTTTTGTTTTTGTTTTTTTGTGTGTGTGTGTGCATGTTTATGTGGTTTATGAGGACACAAATTTGTATAATAACATGGGTATTACATAGGTATTACAACAAGGAGGTGCTTTATGAGGACATTTTACGTGTCCCCGTAATTCAAAAGGCTTATAAATAATTCAGAATTCGTTTTTTTGAAAATCTAAAAATGCAGAAAGTTTCCTGTGAGGGGTAGGTTTAGGGGTAGGGTTGGTGTAGGGAAATAGAAAATACGTTTTTTTACAGTATAAAAACCATTACGCGTATGGAGAGTCCCCATAAACCATAAAAACAAACCTGTGTGTGTGTGTGTGTGTGTGTGTGTTTTCAAACCAAGAATGTGCAGTAGATTTTTGAAGAAAAGTAGGAACCGAAGCGTCAGAAAACACCAAATGCAAAACCACTCAGGGGAAGTGTGCTGTGCCAAAATCTTAGAGTTGAATTGTAGCAATACTAATCATACATATTCACAGTCAGCTATGGTTCTTAACTGAAGTATGTTACATTTTAAAGGGATAGTTCACAAGAAATTAAAATGCACTCATTTATTTACCCTCATATATCCTTTTAAGCTCGTATGATTGTTTTCTTCCAGGAACTCAAAAGGAAACTTTTTCTAGAAGAAAGAGACAAAAAATGAGTCCATATGACTCATGTACCATATGAGTTCCACATTTTTCAAATGTTATGTGTTGGTTACTAGACATGCAAGAACCAAATTTATAATTTGAAAACCGCAGTAAAGGGGATAATTTATATTTTGATGTGTTTTTCTCACAAAGGTTTTGTAAATCTTCAGAATATTTGGAATATAGTGATGTAGACAATGTTTATGCTGGTTTTATGTTTCTATATTGTTCTTTTTGGAGCTTAACAGCACACCCTGGTTGCTACGTGCCTCTGTTGCATACAAAACAACAATATGAACATTCTTCATACTCCTTTGGTGTTCCATGGAAAAACATCATAAAGGTTTGGAACGAGAGTGTGAGTAAATGATGCCATCAATTTCTATTTCGGGGGTAAACTATTCCTTTTATTCAATTGAAACATTTTAAGAATAATTTCTACAATTTAGAACTCAAACAGTCTGAATTAGTCACTGAAATTAGCTGGATCTATAGTGTTATTTTCAATGTACAGACATAATCACCACAAGTCTTCTGTTTTCTGAACAAACTGTGTATACTTGCGCTTGTAGTACCTGGTTGTGTGTGTGTGTTTTTTTTAATGTTGCACTATTTTTAATGGAAATAATGATGCATGAACATGAATGACAGAATAAATGCAGATGAATGGAAGTAAGTGTACACGTCCCATTTCCTGTTACTCCTCAATTGCTGCTCCAGTGTGATTTAATGAAAACCTAAAGACAGACAACGAGTAATAAAGTAGTTAGCGGGAGGCATGTGGTGTTAAACACAGAGATTGTGCCCCATGCGGGGACCTGCAGGACTCCACCAGACCTGCATTCACTCACTGGCAGCTCCTGCTTCTCCAAACTGCAGTACGTAGACATCATCTGCTCTGTGCCGAGCTGCCTCCTGCTAATATTATTATTAATATCACAGCCAGAGTGCAGAGCAGGTTATTTTGTGGGGTTGGGGAAGGTCATGAGCAGGAGTAGATGTGTTTGAGGTGATGGATGATGATTTTCGCTTTGTTGTTCTCTGAAATATGAACAGTTCAGTGTTTTGTTCATTCCCTGTTTTCTGGTTCTTTTCCACATAGTCTGAAAGTAACTTTAAAGGGATTAGTGTGTCATTTAAAGTGTAATTTCTGTGCCATTAGTGTTATTAAACAGAATTAGCAAAAAGAGTGATTGTTTTCAAGCATATTTCTCAAAAACAACTCTCATCTGCCATTGGTCAGATAAATAGATAGCCCTGCCCCAAACTTACACCATTGGCTGAAAAACTGTTGCTATATCAGTTTAGTCAGGAGGCTTAAACAATGAAAAGTATTGATAGTGCTGCAAGGCCACAGTAGTTACACTTTTAGGGGGATTCTACTGCTTACTTGTATTTTTATATTATGCTGAGTTAGGAGAAAGTATTGTAATGCTGAAACAATAAAGGCCCTTAGATACTCACAACAATACTCACAAAGTTGTTATTTATTCTTCACTCATGGATGAAAAGAAGTTAGCTCAGCAACAGTGTAATGTTTTTGAGCATTCTGACACTGCCCACCCCATGTTTAGATGGGTATTTTAATATGTTATGTGATCATCTCAATAACAGGAATTCCAGGCTATCTTTGAATTTTTAAAGTTGGCACTAACCAGAAATTGCAACCAACTTTTTTTTTCTCTATTGTGACATATATCCAAGTGAAATTACTTCTTAAACAAGACAAACAATTGGTGCAAATTTAGGACAAATTAAAAAATGTTGTCCAACAGAAATTGGCTTGTTATCCTCTCATGCTGAGTGACAGGTTGCTGGAGAGGAGGGATTGAAACTCATCTGGCTATTGGACAACCATATGCTGCGTTCGGAGCACAGATGCATTCGGATGCTGAAGTATAATACATTTATAATAAATACTACTACTAGGTGTGGAGAGAAGAAAGATCAGCTGGAAGGATCTATGGGAAATGGAAGCAAATAAGATCAGCTTTATCATCAGAGCAACTTACGATGTGCTTCCATCACCAATGAATCGCCAACAGTAGTACGGCGAAGATCCAACCTGTGCCCTTTGCCCAACTCCAGCAACTCTCAAACACATCATGACAGGCTGCAAGACCAGCCTCACGCAAGGGAGGTACACCTGGAGATACAATCAGGTCCTCAAGATCCTAGCATCAGCTTTGGAGAGCAAGCGGAGCGCGACCAACTCCCAACCTCCCAGGACAAACGATCTCCCGAAGGCAACATTGTTTGTCAGAGAAGGGCAAACAACACCTAAAAATCCTTCCACCAAGTCAGAATCAGGACAATTTTGCCTGGCCTGTGACTGGAAAATGCTGGCAGACATCGGACAACAGCTAATTTTTCCGCCTGAGATTTCCCTCACCAATCTAAGGCCAGACTTGGTACTCTGGTCCCCCTCACTTAAAGTGGTATATATCATAGAGCTCACTGTCCCTTGGGAGAATTTGATTCAGAAGGCCTATGAGCGAAAGAAGCTGCTCTATGCAGAGCTTGTTGCAGAAATAAAGTAGCGTGGCTGGAACACCAAAGTTTATCCAGTTGAAGTGGGTTGTAGAGGATTTGTGGAATCATCGGTTATCAGACTACTGAAAGAACTCGGAATCCATGGTCAGGCCTTACGGAAGACCATCAGAGAGGTCTCAGAGGCGGCAGAAAGAAGTAGCTAGTGGATTTGGCTCAAGCGGAATGATCCGTGTTGGGCACCAAGTAAAGCATAAATCACTAAAAATCTCCCATCTGTCAACATCTCAGCCAACCGCAGACTTTATCAATTCTGGGAAGGGTGGAGCACAGGCAGCAAGCTGAGGACTGATCGTCCTGCAGCAGGCCACCGTTGTGGAGAGTGTATAGTGATGAAAGGCCAAAACACCCAAGGATGCAAGGGCACACTACTGATGATGCAGCCTGTGCTCTATCGAACCAAAATTGTGCCCGGATCAAGATTATCTCCTATACAACAGCTAGTGGATTTGGCTCAAGCGGAATGATCCGTGTTGGGCACCAAGTAAAGCATAAATCACTAAAAATCTCCCATCTGTCAACATCTCAGCCAACCGCAGACTTTATCAATTCTGGGAAGGGTGGAGCACAGGCAGCAACCTGAGGACTGATCGTCCTGCAGCAGGCCACCGTTGTGGAGAGTGTATAGTGATGAAAGGCCAAAACACCCAAGGATGCAAGGGCACACTACTGATGATGCAGCCTGTGCTCTATCGAACCAAAATTGTGCCCGGATCAAGATTATCTCCTATACAACTCGGAGAATTCCAGTCAGCTGATTGTCTACCATTCTTATCAATAAGGTAAATCTCAAAAGAGTGCTCACCACTTTTAACACCTAGTCATGTGTTCTTGATTCTCTACAATATTCCATAAAAAATAAGAATTGTCAATTTTGAATTCATTGTGACTTTAAAGCATCTACATGAGTGAATATAGAGGTTCAAATACATTTGTACCAGCTCTGCAACTCAGTACTCTAGTGTATTCATATTGTCTGACATCAATGGAACCAGTGATCTGAACAAGAATCTCATGTCAAAGTAGGCGGACCCCAGAACACACTCACCTATTCCGTAATCATCATGGAGTAATGGGAAGTTGAAGGTTTTTACCAGTCAGCGCAAAATTTGTGCTGGGAAGCTGTATCAAACCACCAAAACAAACTCCGAAAACCATAGGTTTGTCTAGATTTTCTTTGAAATGATGTCACACCAGTTTGTTCTTTGATTTCAGGTTTACATAAACCAATGGTTAAAACATAACAGACAGAATGTGTCCTGCGTTAATGGCCCCACACCATGCAACCCAAGTACATGTTGCATTCCTAGCGTTGCCAAAGGGGCTATATAACGGATATTAAAGTAAAAATTAAAGTATTACCATGCCAATCCCTCTGAGAGTTGTCATGACAGAACTACTGTTATGCCGGAGCAACAGTTTAAAGAGAATCTTGCTGAGCAAGTTAGTTAAATTGTGTGTATTGTTAACTTCATTAAATATATTTCCAATTTTAATGTGCGCAAGGAGAATCTATTACCCCCTTGAATATTGATGTTTATTGCTGACACGATAACACAAAAATGCATTTTTCCTTGTGCTTGTGACTCTTGAATAAAATCAATTTACGTTTGGAAGTCCGACTTGTAAAGTGAAAAGTGTCCCAAAATGACTGGATGCTTTGAGGGATATTTCAACTAAATTTTCCCAGCCTCAATCCCAGTAACTGCTTGCATAGAGGACACTAAATTTGTACAATTACAAGATTTCTCAAAGTTGTAGAGCAGTTAACAAAATCTTCAGTTTTCTGAATAACTTCTGATTACTTCCAACATCCAAATGCAGACAAACATCAAGGATAATTGGTGTGGGTTTCAACAATATTGGACTTTTCTCAGGACCGTGTTGTTGCCATTAATTTAACATCCTTTCTTCTCACCTGACAGTTTCATCAATCAAATATGTTACTAGTATTTCGCTGACTGAGAGTCTTTAGTGCTGCTGGGTGTTTTGATGGTCAAACTGGGACCACACACCAATAGGAAAAAATGTGTGTATGTTTGTGACCCATTGCTGTTCCGGAGAGCATGTAAAGGGTGTCTGGGGGGATGAGGTGGAGTGGGGTTTAAAAAAGCGTGGGTGCTGAGTTTGTAAATTCCGTGGGTGGAGGGCGGGGTGTGCTGTGTGCAACGATAACCAAACAATACTCACTTTCAATGGTCTGTTTGCTTAAGCAGCTTTCCATGGATGTGAATCGAATGTGGAAAGATGAATGTTTTTCCCTTGGCCGTCTCATTTGTTCTTCCCCCAGCTGAGTTTGTTCAACTTAGTTTGACCTTGTTGATTGCTTGTTAAGGGGTCTAAAAAATCTAAATTGCGTATTTATAAAATGATAAAAATGCATATTCGCTATAAAATGGGTAGATTTAGGTTTGGGGGCAGGTTAAGGGGTCTAAAAATCGAAATCGCTTATTAATAAAATGATAAAAATGCATTGATATGAATATCTAAATGATATAAAAGATACGTAAATATTTTTACGTTTTTTAGCTAAAAATACGTAGTGATTTGTACGTTTTAAACGTTGAAATACGTCTAAATTGTACGTTTTAGCATGACTAAAAACGTACAAAAGTGTACGTTTTGTGCTTGTAAATGTTACGTATTTATACCTACGTATAAACATGAGACCAGGCTGGTATTTGAGGTCGATGACAAATTAAAACGGTCCAAGATGATAAAAAGAAAAACTATTTAAAAAATATCAAGTCATATGTTAAGTTCATTGTAATATCTTTATCCTTGTTGATTTTGAAAAAAAAGACGCAGTTGGTGTAACCATTAAGAAAACTGTATTACATGTTCCTTATATATTACATATATGTAAAGCTGAGTTTGTTCAACTTAGTTTGACCTTGTTGATTGCTTTTTCTTCTTTATAAGTTTTCCCAACAAGTGTTTTCTGCTGGATTTAAATTTCTACTCATGCAAGGACCAAATCATCGGATGCTCTAGTCAAATATCAGGCAGAGGCTAAAATTCCCACTGGTGCGGGAATGCATGAGAAATCAACTTCCATTGCGAACAGATTGAAATAGTTGTAGGAAGTTTGAGGAACATGTAGAAAAACCTGTCCCAAAGCATGTATTTCCATTTACCTTTATTCAGGACCTAATGCACATGTTGTGAATGTCTTGTCAAGTTGTACGAGGAGAGAGGGCCAAGAAGCCCCCGCTGCGGCATCGAAACCTTCCTCCATCCTTCTTCACGGAGCCGGCCAACAGCTCCAGAGTTACATCTACTTCTGGCATGTCGCTCAAAGACCTGGAGCGAGGGACTCCGGATGCAGCAGAGTTCTTGGAGCTTCTTGGACCCGACTACAGCACAATGGTCTCGGAGCAGGATCTATTCCACACCGCACCTATCAGGATTCAACAGGAGGTGACTGTGGGCCCCGAGCCATATGACTCCCACCATTTTGTAAGTGGTGGGTTCTTGTACACTGAGCCTTGGGGCACTTGTAGCAGCAACCCCAAAAAGTCAGGAGACATGCGGACAGTACCAGTACAGCCAAATCTTTATACTCACACAGACCTTTCTGGCAGCGTGCCTGTGGAACAGAGCTCGCCATGTGCACTTACCTTTTCAAACTTCTTTACAGACTGCTCCGCTCCTTCGGTCTCCTACGATTTAGTGAACGGATACAACAGAGGGAGCTTTTCTTCTCTTTAAGCCAGAGATTTTTTGTGTCTCAGACATTACATTGGAACAAAAACACTTATGCATCTTTCAGTATGGTATTGACAAAGGACGCTACCTACATGTAATTGCCCTTTTAATCCTAAAACATTTGACTCAAAACCAGCTAAGGATCCCTTTTAAAACATCGCTTGATGGGATAACATGCATACAGTAGCCACCTGTAAAAGGTTTACAATCTTGAGAAGGTCTTTGCATCTAAGGACGAACTTTTCACCAATTATTTAATGAAAACAAAATGCATTTTACAGATTTCTAATCATAACTTAACAAAACTACATGCTTCAGAAATTAATTATATTGCTCCATGTAAATAAAACAACAAAAACACCTCGGACCTCTTATCCTTTAACATGCATTGTTTGATTTATATTATTAGCAATTTGAAGCTTGTTACAGAGCTGATCTCAAGGGGTTCTGCTAATTTGTTTAAACATATCACAGATTAAATAGTCACAAATATACAGTGACCCCTTTAAGTATTTGAACGCATAAGCCACACTTAAAATGTATGGGTTTATTGCCATGAGATAATAAATATATCAAATCAAGTGGCATCTGCAAACAAAAAAAGATTTTAATTATTTTTTGATCATGATCCACTACGATTTAACAACCATGTTTAAAGTCTTATTTTAAACAGTATATTGGTTATTTTATAATTTAAATACAAACCATATTTTTTTGCCAAATGTTTTGTGTGAGTGTGCTATCTTCCTTAAAAAATAAATACCACTTGGTCTGATATTTTGTATTTAATACCATGACATTTATATATTTTAAGTGCAAAAAAAAAACATATATGCAACATCCTGCAATAGTGGCAATCAAGACAATCGGTCTATATTTTATTTTTATCACTGTTAATCCATAGTTTATTGTTTGTTGACTGCTAAATTTGCAATATTCGGTTTGCACATCTAAAGTAATGACTTACAGTTGCCTTAAAGTAAATGTTTGAATGAATATACTTTAGATATACATCACAGAAAAAGTTCTAGGTCTGGATTTAGGCATTTCTTTGTATTCCTAAAGAAATGGAAAATGGTACAACATGAAAGCAGGAACTTTACAACATTGTTTTGTAACACTATGGTCTTACATTGGTTTATAATTTGAATTAAATTAGGAATCAGACATTTCCAACTGCACTGGGAATCAACAAATAGTTAAAATACATGAAGCTAATGCATTTTTTAGTTAGTTGTAGTTTTAAATTAACTTTATGTGGGATGCATCTGCCAAGATTAAAAAATCGTGTTCATAATTTATATGCTGAAATTAGTGTTTAGGCTTACTCTTTACTCTCTTGTGAAGAATACACTCTTGTTTGCAGTAGCTACAGAATCAAAATAACATTTGGTTTGTCTGACATTTACATTTTCAAGAACTGGTACGTATTGTCTGTTTACTAGTAATGAATAGTACACCTAAATCTATGAATTTACAGGGGCACTGGATTAAAGTTTTCTTTGGTCATGAAGTAATGGGACAAAATAAAGCTGGTCTTTATGTCTATTAAAGAAAAGATCTCTTTGCATGTTTATTTATTTTATCATAGCAAACATAAATATGCGTTTATTAAACTCAAAACAGTACAAAGACAGGTTTATCATCAAGTGCAGGTATGACCATTTCATTCGAATTTGTAAGGATTTCAACCAGCAAACAAAAGGGTGTAACACCTCTCAAGTTATGGCTCCCTCTGTTGGCCAAGAGAGGTCTACAACTGTTATGCAAGTATATATATATATATATATATACCATATCAAATGTAATTCCCATCATGCTCAAACTATCATTTTATCATTTAGAGATATATTATAAATTATGGTCAGCAAAGCACACTGTAGAATCTGTTCTTTTGGCATTGGTAACTACTAATACAATGTAATGCATTAATGCTGAAAATAAAGATAGTCTTATATTTCACTAATATATTAATGTTGCTTTGATTAATCAAAATAGAATAAGTAATAGACATTTTAGGGCATTATTATTATATTTGTATATTTCTGCAGTCTAATTTGACAAAGTAGCACCATACCACCAGCACTACCACCAATTAAAAATATATATATATATATTGACAATAATAATGTTGTACAGTTCCGTTATGAGCCCCTGGTTGAGAAACTCTGCTCTAGCTCTTTCAGATCCACAATTATCCACAATTGTATTACAGATTCACAATCGACCAAAAGGTGTTGTGGGTTTTACCACTGTTTGTGTGTGCGCGCACACGGCTCTAGTATAGTTAATTAATAAATGTAACCTACTACGTTTTAACATATCAGGTTAAAACATTAGTGCTGCAATTAATGAAAAAAATTAATTTAAAATGAAATTTAGACTTAAATTAGGCGCTAAATTAAATTATGTCTAGGCATTAAATTATGTTTTGTTTTAATTGTGCAACCTTATTTACAAAAATCCTTAATGGATCCTGCAAAGTAATCTCTAGTCTAATCCAAGTCATGTGGTATCATAAGAACTTTTTTTTCACCCGTTAGGTCTATTAAACAGTGATGTTTAATGCTTAGCTATATCTCTCACCTCAGGTTTACGATATTAGCGTGCTTTCCCTGTTGAAAAAACCGGCATATGCTGATTAGGTATGTTTTGACGCTGGGATGCTGGTTTAAGCTGGTCCTTTGCTGGTTTAAACTGGTCCTTTGCTGGTTTAAGCTGGTCCTTTGTTGGTTCATGCTGGTCCTTTGCTGGTTTAAACTGGTCCTTTGCTGGTTTAAGCTGGTCCTTTGTTGGTTCATGCTGGTCTTTTGCTGGTTTAAACTGGTCCTTTGCTGGTTTAAGCTGGTCCTTTGCTGGTTTAAGCTGGTCCTTTGTTGGTTCATGCTGGTCCTTTGCTGGTCCTTTCTTGGTTCATGCTGGTCCTTTGCTGGTTTAAACTGGTCCTTTGCTGGTTTAAGCTGGTCCTTTGTTGTAAACCAGCAAAGGACTGGTCCTTTGCTGTAAACCAGCAAAGGACCAGCTTAAACCAGCAAAGGACCAGCATAAACCAGCAAAGGACCAGCTTAAACCAGCATCCCAGCATCAAAACATACCTAACCAGCATATGCTGGTTTTTTCAACAAGTGCATAACTAGATCATGGTGTGAAATGATTTACAACATCATACAAACCTCACACAATCATCACATGACTATGTTGCAGAATTAGTCGTTGTTTTTCTCATTTACACAAGATGGCAGTAGGCTATTGCTGCTTTGAGCAAACCCTTCCTCTACAGTAGCCTACATCAGCAGGACGCACTATTGATATCTACGGTATAATTAAAATAAGATATTTCTTTGTAGTTTGTTTCATCCCACTGATGTTTCATATATTTATTTCATGTAAGAGGAAATTAATAAAGTAGGATATATGAAGGGAAGATATATGAAGCATATGACTAAATTAAAAGAACATGAATATAATAATGCATTTCCCCCCCTGTAATTCTGATTGTTATGAGTACGGACTGCTACCTAAAGATTATCTTATGGTTCTAGAAATAACACGTGTGATTGTTTTATTGGGCATACAAAATGGCAGTTTAACAGCATCTGTTTTATAGGCAAAGCAGAGGCCCACCTGTTGTGCCTTCTCATGTTTAAAAAGATGCATCATGGGGTAGAGTTTTCTCATCAAATGCGTGCAAGTATTTCTTGACATCCAATCTTATTTCTTGAATAAGGAGTATTTGACCTAAAGAAAAGAAGAAAGATTAAATTTTTTTGAAGAAAACGCCCATTTTGTTTGTGGTTACTTCTGGCGATATTCTTGAGGTAGTGTGTATGTGTTTAATTTTTTTCCCCTGTCTTAACACTGCGACTGATTAATTTTCAGCAAAAAACAAATATAAATATAAATATAAAATAAATATACTAAAATGTATTTCAAATATGCATGCTAAGTATATTACAAATACATTTACATATTTATGCACTTAATAAAAATACACTGCAATTGTACATTTAAAGTCTGCTAATTGGAAGAACTAATTTTGTAATTAATGCACGTTAACTGTGCGGAAGTAGTGCTGAAGTCCAACTAAAGATATACTGAAGTATATTTGATTGTGCTAAAGTGGAACTATTGCAACTTGCAAGCAGCCTATACTTCAGGTAAACTTTAAATATCTTGCATTTAAGACTGATATCATTCAAAGATCATATAGTCCTCATCAATAATGACATTAAAACACATTTTAGGCTTAATATTAAGAAATGTGCACAAGTTATACTACAAAATAAAGTTTAATTATATATTTTTTTCAGTATAAAAATATCATAATATAATATCAGTTGTCTCAAGCGATATGTCAATAGATTTGAACTGTACTTAGTATGAAATAAATGTATTTTAAATATATTACTTTTTACTAAGCCATCTACAGGTTTTGATTCCACACAAGTATTCATATCTGTCTGCTTCACATGGAGATGTTTATCATAACATGACAGAAACGTGATGTTTCACCTGAGAGAAAAGAAAATCACACACACATCCACAGGTGAGCTGTTTAACATCACAATCTATTCTGATACCAATGCTTTTCTACTGATAAGTGATAATTATAGTGACACTCTTCACACTTCACCTTCTCTTGACCCGCGGTGTTTGTATGTTGTGGTTTGCTGAAACTGTAATGTGTCTGACTTACAGCATGACATTCACAGGTTTTTCGATGTTTTCAACAGCTCACATATCTGACATCGCACATGGTTCTCTATGAGACATTCAGCATATTGGAACACAGCAAAAATGCATCATCAAAGAAAGTTGATAGATCACTGCTAATTAGGTATGTTTGGCCTTTAAATTATTAATCTGGTTTTACTATTATTATTTTTTAAATGTTTTACTATGTTTTCATTAGTATCCTACTATTTAGTAGTGATTTAAGAGTGATTATTAATGCTAGACAATTGCCAAATGGTTGCTAGGGCATTGTGTTGCTAGGGCTTCTGGGTGATAGAGCGTTGCTCCTTCAATGCAAGTCAGTAGGATTGTTTTGCCCGTCCGCCAAGTGAAAAATCTGCTTGCTTTAGAACATCTTTTCTCAAGAAGCCACAAGTCTAGAGATATCATTCATGTCCAACCAAACAGCATAGTACACTCTAAAAAATGCTGGGTTAAATACAACCCAGTGCTGGGTAAAATAGGGACAAACCCAGCAATTGGGCTGTTTTTTTTATTACATAGTGGTGTGCCACAGGGGTCTATACTTGGGCCTATTTTATTTTCATTATATATGGGCCCTTTGGCCTCAATTTTTCGTAAATATAATATTATGTATCATTTATATGCAGATCACACTCAGTTATATATCCCAATAGATCCAAATGTTTATCAATCCTTTGATGGACTTGCTCAGTGTTTAGGTGAGATAAGAGCCTGGTTGGCAAGCAATTTTCTTCATCTTAATACTAATAAGACAAGAGTGTGTTGTTTTTGGACCTTCTTCTGCTTCTAAGGAAATTAGAAAGTAGGT